GAAAGAGTTTCAATAATTTATGCATTGCATGTCCAAAACGGTCCTCCGAAAAAACAAGAAAATGAATGCGGAATTCAAGATAATCATGAAAAGAAAACAAAATTAATAAAAAGACGAACGGCTGCATATTTGCGAAATGTTTTTGACACAGAACATGCCTACAGTAATAATTAGAGAGTTTCATAGTACTTAATAGACACCGAGTTTCTTGCGATCGTCTTGTTGAAATACATGTTTTTTTTTCTTTGCTCAATTATTCATAGTTTCTTTTTCTTTCTTCGGTTCGTTTACAGAATTGCCGCCATGGTATGAAGGAGTCCAATGTTATTGAGGAAGCTGTAAGTAAAAAAAAAAGAAATATAAAAATTCACTCATCATTATGAACGATTGTTGAGCGATGAAAAATCGCAAGAATTATGTGTGTAGCCAAATGACAACGCAAAATTTGTCACTAACTTAATCAGAAAACTGAATGCGCAACACAAGTGCGTGTATAAAAATATGTTTGTCTACATGTTTTGCTAGGCTTAATTATGATTTTGACCATTACCGTGAAATCGCAATACATTCATGTCGTCGTGATGTTGCGCACATTTTGTGCGTAACAAAATATTAATTATTATGATATAGCTAAACCAGTTCGACTGCATTCAGTGTATGCTCCATCTCTTTCGCTATTCACCACAAGCCCGTGCAATTTCACGCTGTTCATCGTTAATTTTTGTTTCCTTCTTTTTTTTTCTCGTTTCGTTCAATTCTTCGGTTGTGTGCCTCTAACGACTTTTTTGCATGAGATGAGTTTAATGGCGCTGCAACAAACCGTAAGTGGGTCTTACGTAGACAGTTAACATGTGTGTGCCTTAAACTTCGATGCTGAATTAACAAAACATCTTATTTCACATGCATTTGATTTTCACGTTTGAAATAAATGAGACTGCGTTTGAATTTCTTGCCATGATTTCAGTTTGTGTATACCTTTTTATCGACGATTTATGTTCGCATGGAACTATATCTTCTATCGCGTACCTGCTAAAAAACCCGATAAAACTTTAATTCGACTTTGTGCCAGTAAATTAACGGGAAGTAATTTAATGATACAATTGTATTATACCAATTTCGGTCATTTCAATGCCGAAGCACTTGTTTACGGCCCAAATTTATGTTATTCGCTTACATTTACAGAACATTCAACAAATGCACTTTTATTGCACTTGTAACAAAGTCGAATTAACGCCCGTATGAGACATTTAAATTTGTTGTTTTATTCGAAAACTGTATTCAGTTGCCATCAAAAGTCGAACGATAACATGTGAACTGTTGAAGTCATGCGTAAATCCTTAAATTTTTTTCATTGGAACCCAATTTTTTTAACACACATATTGTATTGTATTTGCATTTCGATGGAATATAATGCAGTTGTGTGTACGTGTTTTGTTCACTCAACCATGCGAACAAAAAAAAACCTATACAATCAAATTGATTTGCTTTAACTTAATTTCATTGTAAGTTCATAATATCGTGCATCCACATTGATGATGTTTGATGTTGCCGTTTTTGTGAAATATTTGAACGGCATTCCCAAAACTATATGCTTATTATTCATTGATACAATGTTGTTTATGTGAAATTTTATAGCAAAATATGCATATATAAAAATAACATTGTTTTGTGTACAATTTTCGAAAGAAAGAACGAAAAAAAAATCGTAAATGTGTCAACATACTTTGTTATGAACAGCTCACAACGCACACATTTTTTTTCTTCTTCTCTGATAATACGAATTCAAACAAGCCGAAAAAAAATGAAATATTATGAATAATGACACGTTAAAGTTGATTGTATTTCATTTCAAGCTGAATGTTTGTTGATATTGTTATGGTTTTATTATGAAATTTTTTGATGAATAACAACTCTCAAGTGAAAATATTCCAAATATGAATGATGGTATCAAATTACTGGCTCGTATCCGAATCAAATATCCTCCCATCAAGCGTCCAAGGTCTAGAAACATAAAAACAAATATGTGATATATGCTACGATCTTTTATCTTTATCAACGTTCAATGTGATATTCTCCTTTATCCATATGAGAAAAAAAAACAAGCAACCAGTATGCAATTGACGACCGTTGAGCATTTCAATCGTTTTGCCATGAGAATGGCACGAAAACATGATACACACTCATCCAGTGTCAAGTTAGTATCGCGCATCAAGTTTTATAAATAATGGAAGTAATGCGATTGAAAAGGGATTTTACATAGAGATAAAATTGATGTCAAACCCTTTTTCGGAAAAGACAACATGTCCGCAATGTCAAAATGATAACTCTTCTACTCATAAATGGTTGAAATCAGTTGACTTGAAATTTATTCGTCGCAGAGACAAAAAAAAACATTATTGATTTAATTTAATAAACCGCATTGCAATATGGTTTGGTTGAAATGGTATTCGCATCCGCAATGCATGTCATAAACTGAAACATACACACATCGAACAAGATTAATGAATCGGTGGATGATATCATTGCATCAAATTTATGTATAAACATAACGGAAATCTCATGGTGGTTGGTCAGTTGGATGGACTGAGGTTGCTTTGCTTCTAAAATAGAATATTTTATGATGTTTCGGTCACAAACTGTGTGCACGTGCTTTTGCCTTTTCATATTTTGTCCATCGTTTTTCATCGTTCGTATCGCCGGCGAATGGATTGAAATTTATGAAATTATGCAAGTTGTATACGATAACAAAAATACATGGACAATAATTCAAACGGAAATTGACCGAAATCCAACGTTATTTTTGTACTGATTCAGCTGAAAAACAGGCCAACAAAAATGTGAAATTTCAATCATATTCATTCTGGAACCATTTTCAATGGCACACTGTATATAAATATAAATTTCCGCTTTTTGTGCATTGGGTTCAAACTCATCTTTATTCGAAATTCAGCTCACAGAAGTATGAATGATATGATACCATGTGAATTTTTGCAAATTTTTCTTCTCTTTTCATGCACAATGATAAGATGATAAGTTAGTTCATGAATTTAATTTAAAATACAAATTTGATCAGTTTAAAGAAATGCAAACCATCGAATAAAAGGTTCAACTACGCATTTAGAGGAAACGAGATCCACGCAACGTTTTGCCATTTTTCCTGATGTCACTATAGTATGCGAGCTTTGATGCGTTAAGAATGCGAAAATAGCAATGGCAAATTGATACGATTTGAAATGCGAATTGAAACGCACATGAGCACAACGGCGAATCTGTATGTAAAGCATGTAACAAAACAATCGAATTAGAGCAGTAACCGAACGAAAAAATGGCATCTAAACGTTTTATAAAATATAGCGATATGTGCGCTCATATGGTATGTGTGTGTGAGTCAGTCATACATAAATGCCTGTTGGTGAGCATACTGCACGTCTTCCTACATCTTTATATAACATAAAGTGCATGGGAATATGTGTAATGCAAGAGGTTTACATCGCAACCAAAACAACGACGATAGCGAGAAAGAGAAAGGGAGTGAACAGATATCAAGATTTTAATGCGATGAAACACATCTAATTCACGTAAACATGGGATTTCTCGGAGATGGAAATTGTAACTACAACCATCACACCACATCTAACACAAGTTTTGAATAAAATACATGTGGAGTGATAGAGAGAGAGAGAGAAAGAGAATAACCGTTTTGCGGATTAGTGATGGAGATTTTCTTGTTTTGTTTTGCTTATTTTTTCGTTGTTTTTTTTTTTTTATTTCTCATTCTTGTAGAGCGTAGCATGCTCATTCAGATATGCATTGGATTAAGTGTGTTTAATATGATGTTATTCCAATCATAAGACATGTTTGTTTACCGATATGTTCTACTAAACAAACTGCATTGCATTCTATTATGCTCGTTTATCGAAAAAGAGAGCACAGCGACAATTGCTGGCTCTTTGCAATCTCTTATTGTGATGGCAATTTTCTATCATTCTGTTTCATCAGTGGAAATATTTAGCGTTGATCATAATGTAGTGCAATCTTGATTCACATTTACCCACACATATTGTCTTCTATTATCAGCGTATCAACGTATCATCAACATCAGTATTCGCCATTCCCGAATGAAAGAAATAACATCAATAAAATTGTGTATTGCATTATTTGCTATTGCATGACCACAGTTATATTTATACGCATAAAGAATCCATTGTTTCAAATTGCAATGTGTTTTACATTAAAAACTTACATTGGCGCACTTGAAATGAATACTTACAGTAAATGTTGATGCAAATAAATGAACAAATTAATACAAATCATTTTATTCGATTCCATTTTATGTACAATAAATTTTAAATGCATACAAACAATTGATACGCACGGGATGTGCAGAGTGAATCGACTTTCCATCATTTATTATGTATCTTTGCACATGTATATCTATTTTTTGTTTAAACTAATCAAAGAATATTACATTTGTAGTAGCATGAAATTAGATTCTCTAGGTAGACGAACTTTGCGAGTATTATAAGCTGCACCTGTAAATATATGTAATCTTTAAATCAACCCAAATCCCATTTAGAATATTGGCAAGTTGTATTCAGTTGCATTATTTTTCCGTTATAACATTTCCCCTTTTACAGTGTTATTTGAATCGTTTGAGGAGAAGAGAGTCGTTCAATTGAATTTACTCATGTATCGCACTCATCCATGTGAAACGGCGTATGAATGGCATTTCAACTGCTGCTATTCACATGGCTACATTCGTATGCTCTCTTTTACACTCAATTCACTTGCTTCGTTCTCTCGGCATTCGTTGTACGATGCAAGCAGAGACATGCGTCATACCATCGATGGAACATACTCACCGCACGATGGATAGACAGAAATGGAAAATAGACTAAACAATAACAAAAAGGCGCACACAGACAAACACTGTGCGCTTCAAAAGTTGGTAAATGAATTGTGTTTGGTTGCGATGGTATGTTAAACCAGTTGCCGACATGACTGCGACAAAACCGGTCATTCTTTTTACGCACTGTTTTTTAATATTCGCGCGCGATCGAAATCATATACAAACGTGAACGAAATCGAATTCCGAGTAATACGATTTGGTTTTTTTTTGTGCTCTTCTCAATTCGCTGACATTTGACTGAATTGAAGAAATTTTGTGTTTTTTGAGTGGGAAAATGTAAAGACGAAAATATTGTATTTTTTGTGTGTTTATTTTCAATGAAAATCGAATTGAGTTTATGAAAGAGTGCAGAAACCAATAAAGTGTTATGATAGACACATACATAATATTTCATGCAATCAAACAGGGGAACAAACAGAAACGAATTTATTTTGACAATTCTTCATGTAGTTTTGATATCAAAAAGGTAAATGAACATTTGTTTACGATCGAAAAAGAAAAACAAAATATCATGCATTTGAATTTTCATTTGATGAATTCGTATAAAACCAAAGTTGAAACAAACATATAGTAATATGAATACATTATTTAAGAATTTAAACATTTGTTGGCGTGTGCGTTTCGAATAAAATAATGCCGAAGTTATAAAATAACACCATCCATTCCGTAGTGTTCAGGAAATATTTAAGTGATTTTCTACTCTCTGTTTTTTCTTCAGCCATATCCGTTCGATCTGAAGTGTTTTCGGCATAACCGGTTGAAAAAAAAAATTATTCTTGAGATTCAAATCAATACCATAAATCAACTTTTGCTCGATTCTGATATTTATCGCATTCTTCGATCCTTAGTTTTCGATTCGCTTAGTCACTGCAATACTGTTTGTATTTGTTGTTGAATCTATTTTAGCGAATATTGATTTTAAATTAGAATGGCGATAATTTCTTTGCGGTGAATCTGAACAAAAAAATAAATGTCATGTCTTCTGTAGTGAACAAAAACTGCTTGATGTATGTTTATATTTATTTCAAATTGTATTATCGAATAAGTAGAACTCTATTTTTGGAAATATAATGTATGGCACAAAGTCAGTTTATGGACGAAGCTGAAATAAATCGAGAAATAACATTAAAAATACATTCAAATCCACACAAATACAAAGTGTATGCAACGGATTTGTTCGAGCCAATTCAAATACGTGTATATACAATTTGGTATGTTTGACCGAGAAATGTAGGTGTAAATCCCTGATACATTCGTCAATTTTGACATATAACTTTTGCCGTCATTCAATGCACACACACACTCAAACACGTATAGGCATACTCGCACACACTCATGCGTGGCATACATGGAATGAGAAATATGAAACACTTAACAATTACTAGCATAAACTGAACACAGACACATGAAATTACCCACAGATTATGCTTTTTGACTGTGACTTGTGTAGTTCTTCATTTTTTTCTTTCTTTATTTCTTTCTTTGGTTTTCATTTCGGTGCGAGCCTCAACGTAGTCTGTATTGCGAGACGAGAGCGTATAACATATAAATGCGTCGGTAAATGTAAGTGCTTCGTTGAATTCTTGGTGTGTTTTTTTTTATATTCGTATATTTTTTTCCTTTACAATAATTCTATTCATTCGTTCGGTCTTTGTGTTTTTTTTTTATCCATCGTTTTACTCTCCGTCAATAAAAGATAAAGATTAAAAAAAAAGGCATACTCACACGATGAATGCTATGGAATCTCTGCCTAATATGTTCTAAATGGTATGTTACGGCTTGGGATGTAAAATAAAATCGAAATCACCAGAGACCATGCAACCAAAACACAGAAGCATTACCATCAGTGAGAGGGAATGATGCGATGTGAATGAGAGAAAAGAAGTGCATAGCTCGAGTGCATTGCAAGAGCAAGGTGTCATGAACGAAAAGAAAACGTAAACTGAGTTTTTTCAATCTCTGTGTGTATTTCATTTGAGGTTTTTTTCTTATTCGATTACTGTTCACTCACACTCACATTTACGGACCATTGAAAATAACCATTGAAAATGTACTCTTCATGTGTAGTTTCTGGGCGAGTTCCAAAGAATCTGTAGAATGTATTAAAATTCCTTTGAGTCTTTTTTTTTCATATTTTTTTTATTACACCACAAAAAAAACATGTGAACGGTTTTGAGTAGAGATTCAATAAAATCTCCGTCACACAATTAGACATCTTTCTCTCTTGCTCCGATCAAGTTTTTTGGGAGTTGGGTTCCATATATTTTATGGATATCGCATGAGGCAAATCCATTCATCAAAAATTCCACAGTGTATTACGTTGTGCATGTCTGTCGTCTGATTACTGTATGACATACTATAATAATAATGATATATCGTACCTCTTGGCTCCACACTATTGAACTATCTCCAGAAATTTTGTCTTTTTCACATTTCGTTTTGTTTCCGAGGAGGAAACACCAATTCCAAAACATTGGTTGGCTTATTATTACTTATTTAATGCTCTCTATCCTGTGTGTAAGCGTGTATTTGTGCACACACCGTAACCAAGGTTTTTTTTAAATTTTATTGCACAATCCAATGGAATGTGATATCTGGGGATTTTTTCTGGATTTAATACTATTTTTTTTACCAGTAAAAAAAGTAGATTTGCGTTTACAGAAATGGCAAATTGTTTTGAAGCAAAAAAAAAAAAAACAAATTAACCACTAACGTACTTTTTTCGCTTGAAAAAAAAAACAGAAAATGGTTTTGTTTCGAGCACACAATATTGGTTGAGTAATATTTTTTCTTCGTTTTACTTTCTCATCAAAATATGAAATGCGAAAATAGTATAAGCTGGGAATATTGCAAGCTGAACAAAAAGAGAGAATCTATATTCTATTCACAAAACGTTATGATTCAAATGATAATAATGGTATTGGAATGGTGTATTTCATGGCTTAGAATTTTGTAATATAAATCTTACCATCATCATGATCCTGTCGTTTTTTCGAAAAAGAAGCATTTATATCGCTAGATTAATGTGTATGTGTATGGGTGCATGAGTAGCATAGTCACGGTAACTATGCTAAAACAAAACAAAACCAAAACAAAGCGACGTAAGGCAAACCAAACCAGAATAGATTTGTTTGCACATTATACATGTGCTGCCGATTTTTTTTACCCCATACATCTCATGTACGTAACGCGTTCGGTTCAAACTGGTTCAAATGTTGGCAAAAGAAACGCCACCATGCACAAATAGAAAAAAAAGGCGCACAAAATATTGCTTTGGCTCCGTTTCTACAGTCACACGTTCGAGCCTTCAGACTTTTATATAATGATATAAAAGAATGCCATTGTAAAATATGGTTTTGTTAAAAGTAATTTTGAATCTTTCCAAAGAATCTATCCGCCCATTGCTTGATATCCACGCACATTAATAAAGTGTTATAAAATGTGTGCATGTCAACATTCTGTTGAGTGAAATGGCGAGGATATGAATGTGTCAACAAACAGAAAACGTTTGCTCATATTGCGACCAGCTATCCATAAAGAACCAAATGGATTGATAAACACAAAACAGCATGAAACAACGAAATAAAGTTGTAGTACGAATAGAATTGTATGAAAATGTCTAGGAAAATGTTCGAAGCAATTTGTGAACTCTGAAATATTATACTTTATGGGCTTGAAGAAAACATGATTTTGTGCCTCATGCCAAGTCATGTCACGTGGGTACAGTGACACAATTATTCGTAGTGGTTATTACCTTAAATACGGAATAAAACCTCCTCCCTTAAGATTTCTTCCGCACAACATTTTTCTCGCATTATCAACCAAAAATCTTGGAAATTACTCGAAATAACATTTGCCCCAAGTTGCTTTATTAAACAGATCCAATTCGATGATTCTGTTAAAAAGTTTCCAAAAGTTCGCCATCACTGGTGTGAGTGGCTATGTGCCTTAAACTCGAACTCGAATACTCATTCTCGTAGAAAAATATACTTCACCGAAAAAAAAACCCGAAATAATAAACTTCTAACTTTGTTGAGTTTTGTTTTTTATTTTGTTTTTTTGACCGAAGCCGTTTCTAAAACAACACACTTTAATATGGAAAAGTGATGTTTTTTCTCTCTCAAAAAAAAAAAAAAAAAAAACAATGAAGCAGACGCAGCTGGAATGTGAGCGTATGTATATATTTTGCGTGTATGTGCAATAAATTTAAATTGGTGAATTTACATTTGCATTGGTACAAAATGTCGGTGTCGGTGGCAATGTAGGCAATAAAACAATCATTTTTCTCGCTAAATACGCAGCATTTAAATAAAATCATTCTTTTTCTTCGAAACGTTTGTTCTCCTCCTTCCCAGCACCATTTTTGCGGGCACATTTTCTCTCTCACTCTCTCTCTTTCTCTTGTCGCATTGTACTGTTCCTTTCAAATGGCATCAGCACAAACACAATTTCGTAATTGCATCAAAATGCGAATCGAACGGAATGGCAAAGAGAGCAAATACACGAGACTTGGAACAACTGTGAAATATTACATGTTAAATTAAATTTTGTTTTGCCTTTGCGCGTTCGCTATTTTTTTGCCATTTCAACCACATGCATGAAAGTAATATAAATGCGAATTCTTATAAGTCGTACTATTCCAATGTTCCACCTTTTTATTTTTGTACGCGCCACTTTTCATTTCAACTTATAGCTACATTTTAATAGCTCCAAATATTATACACTTTCTTCGCCCTCTTTGTTTGTTTGCTTTCTCAAGCCGAGTCATGTAAATATTTGCCATTGGATTACGCACCATATCTCCTTCAAGAGCATCCGAAAATTTACTACTGCCAATGGATTAAACGTGAAAGCGCGACGAAAGAGAAAAGGTTATAAGCGAGAAACTACTCCTTTAGTCTCCCCCATCCGACTAGAAGAAAGGAAATAAAAGCAAAAAAAACGGTAACGTGAGAACATCAACATGAAATGAAATGAAATGAAAATGTGCGATAATCTAGTATGTGTTTGGTGATATTTTTATGCAACAATTTCCTTTCGTAATCATGTAGATTCCATTGAACAACCTTATTTCATGCTGAATTACATCCGAATATAGAGCCAAAATTACACAGTTCTTTATGCATATTTACATTCTCTCAAATGTGTGTGATATTGTCTATTTGTTTGAAGTACTCGAGATATTCACTCTATTCGCTCGTCAAACATCAAACAAGAGTGAATATACTTGAAATGGTAAAAAAATCAACCAAACGAAAGTCGTTGCACGTCATCGAAATGAAAGAACGAAAGAGAGAAAAGAAACCTGTAATTCTTTAATGTTATCAAATGTTTGTTTTATTCATCACAATGAAAATCATTTTCAACGCATATAAGTAAATTTATACATGAAATTCCGGCTGATACAAATCGAGTCAAGTGGAGTGCGATGCCGTTATTGTATTGGCACAAAACACATCAACAACA